AAACTTTAAAATTTGGCGCTTATCATCGCTATTACGATGTTACAATTTTAGCGCTCATTATTTTATTTCACAACATGTTTCAATGCAACTGCATCATCTTCAGCGATGATAAGCCCCAAATTTTAAAGTTTTAGCTTTAATAACACCAATTTTAACAACTAAGTTTGTGTACTGACGGAAATAAATAAAAATATATTACTAGATGTAATATGTTTTTGAGATAGTTAGTAATCTCATGTAAATAGCACATTATATTATAAATGTAGAGCACCGCTTGGCAGCTCATACCGTACATCTCTGGAACCAAATTTAACAAAATTCGTTTCACAAAGGTTGTAACTTACCATCATCTCCATTATGTATTAATTTAAGCACTTTATGGTGTTTATATTAAATTTCATCAGTTAAACTCGTGTCCTTTGAAACGCTGATTGCATTCGAAACAAAGAAACAGATGAACAGAGACAGCCGTGTCTGTGCAGTTTCTGTGACACGAAGGGGGACATTAATAGATTTACAAATTTATGTGGGGAGTGTCCCATGTTTGTGCTCTGCATGACCCGGTAGAATGCCTCTGGATACACCAAATATTTTTACAGTTTGTGTCATGCAGCTAATTTGTTTTACAGACAAAATATACGTCGCTGGTGGATGCAGTCGTGGTAATATCCTAAACTCTGTGGAAGTTTATGACCCGGACACCAACCGATGGACGTTCGTTACACCAATGATTTCTGGACGTAGTCATTTTGGTTGCGTCGCGTTCCACGGCTGCCTGTACGCCCTAGGTGAGAACTCTGGGCATTCTGAGTGATGCAGCTCTATCTTTCTTACAGAACTTGCTATTGTGAAATGTTTACCTGGTTTTCTTTGAGTCACTGCATTATGTATTAATTTAAGCACTTTATGGTGTTTATATTAAATTTCATCAGTTAAACTCGTGTCCTTTGAAACGCTGATTGCATTCGAAACAAAGAAACAGATGAACAGAGACAGCCGTGTCTGTGCAGTTTCTGTGACACGAAGGGGGACATTAATAGATTTACAAATTTATGTGGGGAGTGTCCCATGTTTGTGCTCTGCATGACCCGGTAGAATGCCTCTGGATACACCAAATATTTTTACAGTTTGTGTCATGCAGCTAATTTGTTTTACAGACAAAATATACGTCGCTGGTGGATGCAGTCGTGGTAATATCCTAAACTCTGTGGAAGTTTATGACCCGGACACCAACCGATGGACGTTCGTTACACCAATGATTTCTGGACGTAGTCATTTTGGTTGCGTCGCGTTCCACGGCTGCCTGTACGCCCTAGGTGAGAACTCTGGGCATTCTGAGTGATGCAACTCTATCTTTCTTACAGAACTTGCTATTGTGAAATGTTT